TGTTGGGACCTGGGGAAAAAGTTATATCCTTTTGGGGGGGAAATTTGCTCCAAACTAACCCTGAAGAACCAGTTGTAAATTTTTGCAAACAAGGCAGCCCGGGAAACTTTCAGCACTTCGCCGTATCTGCTTGCTTGACAGTAGGGGTTGCAAGACCTGTACGAGGACAAGTACGCCAACCTTGGGGTATGCCCATTTTTTGGTTTCCTGCCCCCCCCTCATCTGGACTGCTTGACAGAGTTGGAACAGAGCAAGACGTTCATCCCCCCTGGACCCCTCTGGAAAGATCTGTCATTTTAGCGACCCTTTAAAATAGGAGGGATGTGGGTGGCCTTTCTGTTATGTAAAGGCCCAAAATTGCAAAATACCCACTTGGATCCATTGGGACAGCGTTGAAACAAGCTTTTATGCCCCAAAACGGGCAGAAAGCAGCAACTTCACTTGGTGTCCCTTCTCCAGAACATCACTCCATTGAGTCATACATACCCCGGGTGACTCGAGTATGGAACATTGTACAGCTATTTATGTTAACGAGTAAGTCAGTTTACAAATGAAAATGCGGCCCCCGTGGCTCCAACTTCATTTCCCGTTCCCTTTGTATGTCTATAAAAAAAAATGCTTTCCAAAAAAGCTGATGTAGGTAAAAGCTCTAGCTTGCCCAAAAAAAGTAGGGTCCCTTAACCGTAATGCTGTCAATAAAACTAGGGGTCCTTAACCCTTTTCAAACCCCGTTTAAAAAAAAAAAAAAAAAAAAAAAAAAAAAAAAAAAAAAAAAAAAAAAAAAAGAGAAAAAGGGAAAAAGAGAAAGGAAGGAAAGGGAAAAGAGAAAGGAAAGAGGGGGAAAAAGAAAGAGGAAAAAGGGAAAGGGGAAAGAGAAAAAGAGAAAGAGGGGGAAAAAAAGAAAGAAAAGGAAAGAGAAAGAGAAAAGGGGGGAAAAAGGAAAAAAAGAGAAAGAGAAAAAGGGGAAAAAAAAGGAAAAAAGGGGGGGAGAAAAAGGGGAAAGAGGAAAGAGAAAAGAGGGGGGGGAAAGAGGGGGGAAAGAGAAAGAGGAGAAAGAGAAAGAGGAAAAGAGGGGGGAGAAAGAGGAAAGAGAAAGGGAAAAAGGAGAAAGAAAAAAAAGAGAAAGAGAAAGAGGGGAAAGGGGGGAAAAAAAAAAAAAGAAAGAGAAGAGAAAGAGAGAGAGAAAGAGAGAGGGGGAAAGAGAGAGAGAAAAATAAGGGGGAGAGAGAGAGAAGAAAGAGAGAGGAAAGAGAGGGGGAGGAAAGAGAGGAGAAGGGAGGGAGAGAAAGGGAGGAAAAGAGGGGGAGAGAAAGAGGGGGGAAAGAGGGAGAGAAAGAGGGGAGAGGGGGAGAGAGGGGAAGAGAGAGAGAAAGGGAAAAGGAGGGGGAGGGAGGGAGAGAGAGAGAGAGAGAGAGAAGAGAAAAAGAGAGGGAGAGAGATGGAAGGAGGAGGAGGAGGACGAGAGAGTGGGGGGGAGAGGGGAAAAAGGGGAGGGAAAGGGGGAGAAAGAGAGGAATTTTTGGGGAAAAGTTGAGTAAGATAGTTTTTAAAAGGGGGAGGTAGGGGGTGGGGATTTCAATGTAAGTGGGTTAAAAAAGTTGTGGAGGAGTAGTAGGTAAATTTAGGGGGGGGTAAATGTAAATGGGGAAGTTAATTGAGTAGTGTAGAAAGAGATTTGGTTTGGTAATACATATTTTTTTGAAAAAGAGGTAAATAATTAAAGGGTTTATGTAGGAATAAGAAAGTAGTTTGTAGATTTTGTATTGGTGGTAAAAGGTTAAGGGGTAGGTAGGGGAATTAAATGTTTATAGAGGGGAATGATATATGGATAAAAAAATTTGTTGTAGCACATTGAGTGAGGTAGATGGGGAAAAGGAAGGGGGGCAAACAGTAGGGGGAATGAAATGGAAAAACTAAGGGAGGGGGAAAATTTTGGGCGAGATAAACACATGGAGAAAATGGGAAATGAAAAAAGAGAGTAGTGGGGGGTTGAAGAGGGTTTTGGATAGTTTTAAAATGAGTATTGGGGGGGAGAGTTTGTGGTTTTAAATGGAAGAAGGAAAAGGGGGGGAAATTTGGGGAAAAGAAGGGGGGAAAAAGGAAAAAGTTGTTATGAGGGTTTTAAAAAGAGAAGGGTTATAAGAAGGCAGAGAAGGGGTAAAAGAAAGGGAAGAGAGTGGGAAAAGGGGGAAAAGGAGAAAACAGATGATAGAGTGGGAGAGGCACTGTCACGATTTTTTTTCGTTAAAAAAAAAAAGTAGGGGGGTTGTAGATGGGGGGGAGGGAGGTATTAGGTAGATGGGAGAAAATTTTAGGAACTTTTAAATGTTGAGGGGAAAAAAGGGGGGCGGTAAAATCATGCATGGCCCTGGAGGTTACTATCTTTTAGGAGTGAAAAAGAGCAGAATTTTAAGTGTGGGGGAGGTACGTGAGGTATTACGTAGGAATGAAAGGGGGTTTAAAAGCGCTGGAACTGATGGGATCATGACGAAATGTTAAAAACAGGGGGGGGGGGGGGGTTGTGCTGGGTGGTTTGGGACTTTTTTTAATAAATGTATGAAAAAGGGGAAGGTACCCAGGATTTGGGAGAGGAGGAAATTTTAGTCCCTTTATATAAAGGGAAGGGGGACAAAAGAATTGTAAAAATTATAGGGAATAAGTTTTTTGGTATACCAGGAAAAAGTTAAGGGAGGGTTATTATTGAAAGAATTGAGGGGAAAACAAATGTAGGATTTTGAATCCCTTCACTAAATATTACCCTGCTCACACTCCTAACAGATCGTCAGGTCCCAAGTACCATTCGTCTCCATTCACTCCTATCTAACACGCTCACGCACGCTTGCTGGAAGTCCAAGCCCCTTACCCACAAAACCTCCTTTACCCCCTCTCTCCAACCCTTTCGAGGACGACCCCTACCCCGCCTTCCTTCCCCTATAGATTTATATGCTTTCCATGTCATTCTACTTAGATCCATTCTCATCTAAATGACCAAACCACCTCAACAACCCCCTCTTCTGCCCTCTGACTAATACTTTTATTAACTCCACACCTTCTCCTAATTTCCACACTCCGAATTTTCTGCATAATATTTACACCACACATTGCCCTTAAACATATATAATATATATATATATATATATATATATATATATATATATATATATATATATATATATATATATATATATATATATAAATTATATATATATATTATATATATAATATATATATATATATATATATATATATATATATATATATATATATATATATATATATATATATATATTATATATATATATATATATGCAATAAATGCCAGACAACAAGTTTACACTAATTTATTATAAGTTAGCAATAGAAACAGGCATTTAAAAACACAATAAAAGGTAAGATACACACAGAGTACACTTATTACTTACCTTAAAATATTAATATTAATGTGTGAGAGGTGAGTAGCAGGGTGTTTATTGAATAAAATCAGAATGGCACACCATCATCCTCTAACTTGGCACTTAAAGCAAGAGGCTTACAACTTCTCTTTTTATCACAGCTAACCTTAGACACCATCATCAATGAGAGCCAACTAGTTAATGAAAGAGTAAACGAGAGAGAGACCGAGATACAGAGTTGAGACAATGTAAGAACACAAACTGAACAGGTAGTGGGTGATCACTTGGTCAGGCAAAATAAATACATATTAATATGTGTCTACTTTTAGTTCATTCATGTACGTTTGTAAGAGTTTGTAAAACATTTACCTCAATATTTTTTTATTATAATAATAATTACCTCACAATACAAATACTCTTACATTGTGTACAAGTTAGTACAGAATAAACAAGCAGCAACACACCATTTTTAGAGTGAATGAAGATAATATTATTATTATTATTATTATTATTATTATTAAAAAGCATTAAAACCACAAGGGTCGTGAATTGCTGTATATAAAGGCACACGAAAAGAATATTTTTCTACAGTTATCCCCCAGTTTGACTAGAGAAAACGTAATTCTTCCGACACTACCTACACAACTGCTTTGTAAACAAATCTCATACTTACGTCAATTTTTATTTTGCGAGTGTATGTACATGTTTATATGCTATATAACGGGTTTCATATATAATTTTGAGGAAAATATCATAGATAGATTAATGAAAATGCCTATATTAATGTAAAATAAGACATTTAGTGTGCCGAAGAGTGATTATTATTACGTAGTGTTGGCGTCATGAGTAGAGAGAGACTTAGCGATTTTAATGTGTACCTGCACACCAGCACAGTGTGTAAGTATATTTAGGTACAGGTACACATAAGTATAATTATCAGAGTACATATAAAATACGCAGTAACTTTAAAACACTTGAAATTTTGGAAAGTTTCCTGACATAATAGATGTGGTCACGGAGAATGTAAACAAACCGGGTGGGGGGGGGTGCCGTATTTGAAAGACCGCTTGCCGTATAGCAAATTTTGGTCATAATTTGACATCGCCGTATTAGTGGAACGCCGTAAAGCGGGGCCCTACTGTACAGCCTCTCCTCACTTAACGACGGAGTTCCATTCCTAAGGCCATGTCATTAAACAAATTTGTCACTAAGTGAGAGCATATTATAATGGTTCTGAATTTGTGTCAACCATCTTTGCTATTGTTTTAATGTCACCTTCACACCATTTATAACATTTCTGGTATATTTTTAAATGTTTATGTTTATACAGTACTAGTGTACTGTATCCTGAAATAAATAGAATAGGGGAAATCAGCTCTAATATATATTATTTAGATATAAATAATGGTTAGAGAGCCCATCGTAAGTTCAAGGTGTCGGTAAACGAATATGTCACTAAGTGAGAAGCTGTACACTAAAAATTATGGAATAATTATAATAAAGCAATAATAATTATAATAAAGCAAGGAATGTTAAAATGCTCCTCTTACATGAAATACAGTCTAAGAATTCTCAAAGAAATACCATGGAAGATGGACGAATACTCACCTTACCACTACCTGTAGCCACCACTAGCAACTTCCGAAGGTTCAATTCATCCCGTTTAAGGGTGTGAAGGGATGCCTCGAAAGAGTCCGAGCTTCCAACCAAGGAACTAAGCCAGTGAGTAATATGAGAACATTGGGTTTTGACACGATGTATAAGGCTGCCCATCAAACCTATGACAATAAAATTATTATGTACATACTACACCACACATTCCTAAATTTAACAAAAAAAAAAGGCACAATACCGTGACTGGAACGATACACAAATAACCCACACAAAAGAGAGATAAGCTTACGACGACATTTCGGCCCGACTTGAACCATTTACAAAGTCACACTAACCAGAAGTGGAGCAGTACTGTATACCTGTATACTGTATACCTATTTCTTTTTATTCTGTAAAAATATTTTTGACTTCTGCTTAAACTGTAACCAACACCTCTCCTTTACCATACACGTGAAACTTGCATTCTTTAATTGTGCAAAACAAGGTTTTTTTTTTAGTGTATGAATCAATTTATTCTCACTGAGTAGCATTCTTTTTTTTTTTTTTTTTTTTTTTTTTAACATGCTGGCTGTCTCCCACCAAAGCAGGGTCACACCAAAAAAATAGTTTCACCATCATTCACACTATCACTGTCTTTGAAGAGGCACGACGCAGATATGACAGTTTAGATGTCACTCTAAGCAGTAAATATCCCAAACCCCTCCTTTTAAGTGGAAGCATTGTACTTCCCACCTCCAGAATTCAAGTCAGACTAACTGGTTTCCCTGAATCCCTTCACAAAATATTACCCTGCTCACTTTACATATTTACAAAGTAAAATAATTCTGGGAAAACAGTGACTGAATGACAGTGAATGTGTTTATTTTTTTTGTATGCTTTCCCTACCTGGGTGGGAGATAGCTGGTGTGTTAACCCTTTGACTGTTGCAACCCCAAATCCTGAAGTGTCTCCTGGTGTCGCAAAACATTTGAGACCAAAAAAAAATTTCTTATGAAATGATAGAATCTTTTCCCGATGATAATGACACCAAAAGTACGAAATTTGATAGAAAACTTAAAGAATTATGCTCTCACAAAGTTAGCGACCTCGGCGACATTTACTCATCGGCGATTTTGCCCACTTTGAGCCCTATTTTTGTCCAATTCCACTGATCCAGTCCACCAAACTCATACCTATTTCTTTAGGACTCCATTTGTTCTAGCGATCAAGTACAAGAAACTGCCCATTTACTGATTTCAACTACTCAATAAAGTGGTCAGAAATTGGCAATCTGGCCAATTTCATGCAAATTAAAAAATATGTCAGTTTCAAAATAGGGTCCAGAACAAACAATGCAGACATTCCTGGAACTAAAATAAAATTTTCTCTGTTCATCAGTCACGTCTCCAGGCCCCTGTTATAATACTCTTGCTTTTTATTTTGAATTTTTATTCACACAAAAAATAGAAGATTTACTGTTATGCAGACTACTGCAATATTGCAATAATTGTATAAATAACATCCACCCATTCGTGACTGCATATTAGACTGGCTAGCTGGACATTTATTGGACAATGACGTCATTTGTTTACTCTTGAACATCGGCAAAAATCAAACATTTCTGCCACTTTGAGCTCCATTTCAAGATCCTTTTCATAGTAAAACTAATCAGAATCACTTTTATTTCTATAACATGCTTTCCATTCTATCAAATGAGACTAAGAAAACAAGAATACAACCATAAATACCATAAGAAATTACACCTCAAATCTGTAAAATACAGTCGACCCTCAACTAACGGCAGCATTAAGTAACGGCAATTTCATCTAACGACGCTTTTTGCCGTAAAAAAATGCCTTAACTAACTCTACCAACAACGTTCGTCCGGAACATGTCCATGTGCCCAGAGCACGGCCACTCCGCCACTCAGTGGGCAAAATTTTGGATTATTCCACTGTTTTTAGTGCTTGTAACCACTAAATAAGTCACTATGGGCCCCAAGAAAGCTTTTAGTGCCAAGCCTGTGTTAAAAAGGGCGAGAATTACAATGGAAATGAAGGAGATCACTGAAAAGTACGAGAGTGGAGTCCGTATGGGCGAGTTGGAAAGGCAATACAACTAATCACATTCAACAATCAGTATTATCTTGGCAAACAGACAGGCAATCAAGGAAGCTGTTGTTGCGAAAGGTTCAAGTATGTTTTCAAAACAGAGACTGCAAATAAGTGAAAAGGTAGAGAGACTGTTATTGGTATGGATAGATGAAAAGCAATTATCCGGTGATAGTGTTTCTCAGTCTATAATTTGTGAAAAGTCAAAGAAGCTGCATGATGATCTCATTAAGAAAATGCCTCAAAATAGTGCTGCTGCTGATGAATTTAAGGCCAGCAAAGGTTAGTTTGAGAGATTTAAGATTCATAGTGGCATACAGTGTGGTAAGGCATGGTGAGGCAGCCAGTTCAGACAAAAATGCGACTGAAAATTATGTGAAGGACTTTAAGGAATACATAGAGACTGAAAACTTAAAACCTGAACAAGTGTTTAACTGTGTCGAAACAGACCTGTTTTGGAAGAAAATGCCAAACAGGACCTACATTACTCAGGAGGGAAAGGCACTCCCAGGACATAAGCCTATGAAAGACAGGCTGACATTAATGTTGTGTAGTAATGCTAGTGGTGATTGCAAAGTGAAGACTTTATTGGTGTATCATTCTGATACTCCCAGTGTTCAAGAAAAACAATATCGTCAAGGGTAATTTGTGCGTGCTGTGGAAATTAAACAGTAAGGCATGGGTCACTAGGGAATTTTTCTTGTACTGGTTTTATGGTGTGTTTGGCCCCACTGACAAAATACCTCCAGGAAAAAAAATTGTCACTCATGTGCCTCCTGTTAATGGACAATGCTCCTGCTCATCCTCATGACTTGTAAGATGAAATTGCAGGGGAGTTTGGTTTCGTTAAGGTGAAGTTTTTGCCTCCTAATACAACTCCTCTCCTCCAGCCCATGGACCAGCAGGTCATTTCAAACTTCAAAAAACTTTACACAAAAGTAGTGTTTCGAAAGTGCTTTGAAGTGACCTCAGACACTCAATTGACCCTAAGAGAGTTTTGGAAAGATCACTTCAATATCCTCAGTGACTAAGAGGACCTTGAACTCTGCTTGGAGAACAAAATGTATAGAACAGAGGGATTCTGAAGGGTTTGGGGCTAACCCTCAGGAGCCTATGCCAGTAGTGGAAGCTATTGTGTCATTGGGGAAGTCCTTGGGGTTGGAGGTTTGTGACGAGGATGTGGAAGAGTTGGTGCAGAACGACAAGGAAGAACTAACCACTGCAGACCTGCAAGAGCTTCAGGTGCAACAGCAACATATCACATCTCAGGGTTGTTCTTCAGAGCAGGATGGAGAGAGACGGAGGAAGATGACTTCGTCAAGGATTAGGGAAATGTGTTCAATGTTTACAAAGGTGCAAGCATTTATGGATGAATTTTATCCTGTCACAGAAGTTGCAAGACGCATTGGCAACATGTACAATGACACACTCGTGTCCCATTTTAGGGAAATCCTAAGGGCTCGTGAGAAACAGAGCTCTCTGGACAGTTATTTTGTGCGACAGGGGTCCAGTGACTCTCAAGCTGGTCCTAGTGGCATTAAAAAACCAAGAGGAGAGGTTTTTTATTTTTATTATTATCACACCGGCCGATTCCCACCAAGGCAGGGTGGCCCGAAAAAGAAAAACTTTCACCATCATTCACTCCATCACTGTCTTGCCAGAAGGGTGCTTTACACTACAGTTTTTAAACTGCAACATTAACACCCCTCCTTCAGAGTGCAGGCACTGTACTTCCCATCTCCAGGACTCAAGTCCGGCCTGCCGGTTTCCCTGAATCCCTTCATAAATGTTACTTTGCTCACACTCCAACAGCACGTCAAGTATTAAAAACCATTTGTCTCCATTCACTCCTATCAAACACGCTCACGCATGCCTGCTGGAAGTCCAAGCCCCTCGCACACAAAACCTCGTTTACCCCCTCCCTCCAACCCTTCCTAGGCCGACCCCTACCCCGCCTTCCTTCCACTACAGACTGATAGGAGAGGTAACACCACCAAAGGACTTGGTACCTGAAGTCTTTATGGAAGGGGATTCTCCTTCCAAGCAATACACAATCCTGAATCTCCCCTGCTGTTGGCACATCACTCAACAACAACTCCACAAAGGTAAGTGGCATTTAATTATTGCTTATTTTGCATGTCCCATTCGTTTTTGTGTCAGGAAATTTATATTTCATGTAAAAAAAAAAAAAAAAAAAAATTCAGACTTTGGGGTGTCAGGAACGAATTAATTCTATTTCCATTATTTCTTATGGGGAAAATTAATTCGACCAACGGCAATTTCGACTAATGGCAAGCTCTCTGGAACAGATTAATGCTGTTGGTTGAGGGTCCACTGTATGATACCAAATAAGGAAAAAATACCTGCTGATGATATAAAGTTCCTAAATTACAAAATGCACCAAAGAGTCTGCAAGTTCATTTTCCTTAATTTTCGCATGGCCTAGGATCTAACAAAATAATTTTTGTGTCTGCTAAAGGTGCAGCATGGTCAGTGTTGAAAGCAAAGGGCAATGAAATTAAAGGAATCAAAAGTGTGAATTACTTGCAATGTGCTTTTAGCCAGAGACAACAAATAATGAAGCAGACATGGTAGCAATGTCAGTAACAGTAGCAAAGAGAACATACAACCCTGCTGTAAAGATAGTGTGAACAGTTGTGTATCCTGCTTCATCAGTGGATTTGGAACAATCCGAATACACAGCAGTGGCTTCCTGCTTCTGTGTATGCTACCTTACCTTTACCTTTGATATACCTTTGATGAGTTTTGAGTCTTACTACTCTTAGAGCCCGGCCATTGGCCAGGCTTGTCTGGTGCTTCCTGGTCAACCAGGCTGTTGTTGTTGGAGGGCTGCTGCCCCACATATCCATCACAGCCTGGTTGATCCAGCATCTGATGAAGATACTTGTCCAGTTTTCTCTTGAAGATTTCTACACTTGTTTCAGCAGTATTTGATATCTTCTGGTAAGACGTTGAATAATCTGGGCCATGAATATTGATAGAGTGTTCCCTTATTGTGCCCACCACACCCCTGCTTTTCACCGAGTTTATTTTGCCCTTTCTCCCCTATCTTT